AATCCTTAAGCAAAGGCCCTTTAGTAGAATAAGCAATTATAGTTCTCCGTAAATGATTAATGTCTTTTTTTTTCTTATTTTTTTCTTTTTTTTTTGGTCAAGGCCACCAAAGCTTTTGCAGCTCTCAGCTTTGATGATGCTATTTTTGGAAATTGTGTTACCCATGGGTAAAGATAGAAATCCTTTGCTGGTATCTTCCACTGGTCCACTCTCTTTGCTTATTCTTATTCTTGAACCATTGTATTTTTTGGCTTGCTCAGAGGGTTCTTATGAATAAAACTCCATTTTCCTGAGGATATTCAAAAAGAAGAAACTAAAATCTAAAAAAGAAACTGAAAATCTAGTTTTAAGAGCTGGATGAAACTGTCGAAGGAATCATGAGCCAAGACTGTTGCCTAAGAGGTTCCTTCAGTCCTGTGTTAATATAAATAATGAGCACAAATGAAAGACTGGACTGAAGCTCTTCTTCAGACATAGCCAGAGCAGCTTCTTTGGGTTATGCTGCTGAGCCTTGGTTCTTGTCCAGAATCTATTGATATAATTTTGCTGTTTTTTCAGCTATCTGAAATAGCATCAGCTTCTGAAATAGCACTGAATTACTCTGAAACTGAGGGGAAAGAAATACAACTGTCAGAACTAAGACCTACCTACTGAAATATTTCGTTTCCTTTGCTGCCCACATGGAAAGGGGTTGAAAGACTTCATCTCCACCTACAGCAATGACTGCGAATTTGTGTTATAAAAAACTGTAGGAAGGCAATGGATGCTCTTGTTTTACACTGTTACTGCCTTCCTGTAGTTTCTATGAAGGTATCTGTATTCAGATAACTAGCAGAAATGTACCCAAGTGTCACTGCCATGTAGGCTCTGGGAGTTGAACAGAAATGGGTGAGGGATGTAACTTCATCCTCTGTAGGCTTTTCTCTTCTACTCTGTTCCTGTTTCATTCTAAATCCGGTTATTGCTGTGGTAACTGGTAACCAAATCCAAGCCTCTCTGCTGGAGTCTCCATGCAGCGAGCTCCAGGTGATCCCAGGAACACTCTGGAACTGAGGGTCGGAGAGGTACTAAAGCCCATGTTACTTTTTGTGGGCCGTATTCCTGTGTGCCTATGGCTCTGGCATCACTGTGGATCTCATCTGCCTTTGAGTAGCTGCCGTATGAGCCAAGGAGTTGGCCCATGGTTAGCCCTC